CTTGTGAAGTGAAAACAAGTGTTATTATTTGACAGAATAATTTCATTTTGAGTCAGATTTATAGTGTTTTTGTAAAGTTAGTGTGTGCAGAGAAAGATGTGTTCTATTTTGAAATGAAGAGTTAGTATATATTTAACAAAATGTATTTTTGAGAAGAAAATTATCCATTTGGCCAATTGTGTTTTGTAGGTGTGAGTCTGTGTTAAGAGTTTAGAAAAAGTATCTGAAGTATGGGTAAGCGCTTGTTAGCGATTGAAAAAAACTGTAATGCTTGAAAATAGCGTGAAAATGCAGAGATCGCATCCCAATTAAAGTCAATGCATATACTATTCCCATGGGGATGGGGTTGAAAACAGTGCTGGAATAGAGGGGGATCCCATGTCAAATTTCTATACAACCTCGTCCCCAGGAGGCAATTTCCTATATTGCATGCTGATAGTGTTCTGTATGCATATTATGACTGAGCTTGCTTTTTTGATTCTGCTGCATCTTTTTCAAGATTCTGATATTAAGACTTGGTTTGTGTTCTTTGCAAAACTGTCATGTTGCACAGCTTGACAGGTACTGGTATTTATTTTTTTAATTTTTTTATAATTAATAAAATATTAAAAATTCAGGCATCAATTTTCATAGCAGAATTTTTGTATATCAGCAAAGCTTCCTAGGTATTACAGTAATTCTTATTTATTTCAGAGTGATGATGCTCAGGCAGCCATCAACGGATCATGCCCAACCTTATCACAAATTCCTCATTGTAATACCCTCAGCTTTCATCACAGAATTTTCTTCTTGACTTCTAAATTTTTACATATTATTCAATGACATGGGACATTCTTTGGCCAACCTGTAGGTTTATATAGGAACATGAACAATGACCAATTTCTTTGGTTTTCTTTTTGGTTTTTATGTCACAACCTAAAAAGCTACTGTTTGTTCTGGGAAAATGTTGTCATGTATCTATTGTTCCAGGGACAACCAACCTGTAGTAGGACTGTGTATCAGAGTGACTTTGTTGGCTTCTGCTGATCTTTCTGGCACACTGTCATGATCCGTGTGGGCGGGCGAGTGGATAATTAGGATCGGTCACACGGATATCCAAGAAAGCAGGGTTATCCAAGAAAGCAGCGACAGGAACGGCCTGGGGCGGTGCAGTAGCAGCGACAGACCAAATACACGGCAACACAACGTTAATGACCGGACTGGGGAATACTGACTCAGATGCAGACTAAATACACAGGGTAGGCAGAAAACAACAGGCAACAGTTGAAGACAATCAGGAAGTAACATGAGGTAACGAGGGGGGCGTGGCACACACGAGGATCGGATGAGCCGGGCGTGACAGAACCGTGCCCCAAGGGAGGCGACAGACGAGACGAGGGACACGGGACCTGGAGAGACAAAAACAAAAAACTCAACGGAGCACAGGGAACAAGACAGACACGCAGAACAGACACAGGGACAGCAAACAAAGGGAGGAACGAAGGGGCCAGGAGCGAACGAAGGAGAAACAGGAGGACGAGGAGCCGACACAGGTGGGACAAAGGGAGGAGGAGCAGACAGGGGAGACCAGACAGGAATGGACGGGGGACAAAAGGGAGCCCGAGGGAGCCCAGGCGGGGGACGGGCGGCGGCCGGAGGGGCCGCAGGCGAGAGGGAGAAGGGAGCAGGAGGGAACCACACAGGGGTCGAGGGAACGGGATGAGGGAGAGACGGAGGGTTCATGGAGGGAGCAGGAGGGAACACCGGCGAAGGCAGGCAGGAGGGGGAAGCCGCGGCAGGCGACGGCGCAGCCGGAGCCGGCGAAGGCGCCATCCGACGCCCCGCCGAAGCAGGGGGGCCCGGAGGCGACCAACATGGAGCCGGACGCGACGCCGAGGACCGGCACCGAGGCACCGGGGGGGGACCCGAAGGCGACCGCCAACCCCGAGCCAGAGGCGCAGCAGGCAACCCCGGAGCCCCAGCCAAGGCGGGCGAGGGCGAGCTAGGGGGCAGGGCGGGCGGGAACCGGGCCCGACGCCTGTGGCCCCGTCCCTTGCGGGACACTGACAGGCGAGGTCCTGAAGGGCGTTGGTCCCGGCAGGGCAAGGGAACGGGAGTCCAGAGGGAGGTCCCCGAGGGGTCCCACTCAAGCTCCTCCTCCAGGGAGAAAGGAGCGGGGTTCCGATTGTCCAGGACCTCCTCGGGGACTGGGGCCAGTGCTGGGGAAACAGGAGCAGGGACCGGGACAGGCAGATACTGGGCCAGGGCATCAGGCGGAGGCTTGAGCCGAGCAGGGGGCAGAGCTGTAGCCGGAGCAGCGGGCGTGGCGGTAGGCGGTGCTGCCGGCCGTGGCGGGCTGGACGGGCAGGGCCGCGGGCAGAGCGGCGGCATCAGGCAGGGCAGTGGCGTCAGCAGGAGGCGCCTCACCAAGCACCTCGGTCGTGTGGCCAGCAGGGGGCGCCTCAGCAGGCACCTCGGGCGTGCAGCCAGCAGGGGGCGCCTCCAGGGGGGCACTCACCCCTGGCATGGGGACTGTAGGGAGCACAGGACCCACGGGGAGCTGAGTGGGGAGCTCAGGAGTCACAGGGAGCTCAGGGGACTGGGCAGGAGGCGCAGGAACGGCCTGGGGCGGTGCAGTAGCAGCAGGAGCCTCTTCCTCTGCGGGAGGAGCCTGCTTCTACCGCAAGCGAAGCAGCTTTCTCAGGGTCTCCTCTGCCTTGGAAAGCTGCTGGAGCGGGGAGCCGGGGGTGACGGCGGCAAATTCCCTCCGGAGCTGCTCCTGGAGGGTACCTGCCTCTGGGGAGGCGCTCACTGCGGGCTCCCCCACCACTCGCCAGTAGAGTCCCTGGAGGGTGAAAAACCTCCTAGCCGTCTCCAGGCAGGGCCGTGGCTCAGGAAGCACGGGGGGTGCTGCAGCCTCAGGAAGCACGGGGGGCACTGCAGCCCCCATCGCGGAACCCGCGGGATAGCGTCTGTAATGGACCTGGCCCCTTTAACCCCCTGGGGCCTGAGGCCTTTTTTCCACTTTCGAGGAAACCACAAACTCAGCACCAATAATCTG